CCCTCCGGAAATCAAACGTGGCCATTGAACATCCTCTACATCCTCTATAAATGCGGTTTTAATACGAACATAATCCATAAATGGTGGAATTTCCACACCTTATATACATAATATATATATATATATACATACATATCACATATATATATATGTATATCATATCATATATATATAATGGTATATCATATCTATAGCTACTGAGGGTATCCTGGTATCCCCGGAAATTTCGGGTTGACGAAGCTTCCAGGCCTTGAACCTGAAGATCCTGGACCTCACCGGCGCCAAGGAGGAGGACCTTGACCGCCCAGGGGGTTCCAAAAACCATCTGAAGATCTGGGACATGGGGAAAACCATGGGGAAAACCATGGGGAAAACCATGGGGATTTGGGATGATTTAGGATGATTTAGGATATTTTATTGGGATGTTGGATGTTCTGGCGTTTTTTTTTGATTTATCACGGGATTTTATGCGCACGTTTTGGCGATCTAATGGAGAGAGAAGGGGGATTCAATGCGGAGATAATGGGATTCAATGGGGATTTAATGGAGATTGAATGAGGATATAATATATTGGATTCAATAGGGTTTCACTGGGGCTATGATGGGATATACAACCAACAATATGATTTGGACATGACCGGGAAAAAAAGTTTTTCAGAATATAACACACTATCCATGTATATAGATGATACGCTTGAAATACACATACAGCATACTTGATGATGTTGATGATGTTGGAGCACTTAGACAATGTTAGACATCTTCTGACTATGTCTCTATTCTTTTGATGTTTTTCCCAAATAGGAGGTGGTCCGAATGTAGGGTCGGAAACTTACTATGACTAATCCATCTTTTTATAATAGACTATATTTCTTCTTTTTTTCAGCGTGTTCATTGCTAGTGCAGCCATTTCGATGAACGTGTCTATCGATGTCAGTTGTCCGATACAGGAGACGCTGCTACGGATTGCTACGGTATGTTCACTGGTTGGCAATTTCTGACATTTGGAATGGTGAATATTACCCATAGATATAGATATAGGAGATGCGTGTTTATAGATGTATATAGTTGTGATATTAGGTATGGCTAAATCCCCGCTGCTATGTCTGTGCCATCGGGTACGCTGGCAAGGCCAAAGGACAACTGATCCGATCGGACAAGGCGCAGTGGGGGCAGCTGTGGCTCGAAGTTGGCTACCAAGTTGAGTTAAACCTTGGATAATAGGGATAATAAGCCAACTTGGCTAAACATACCTTGATTGGTTTCTGAAATAGGAAATCATGCTAGCTGGGTTCTTGGGGATCATTAAAACCCATAGGGAAATCTATCAACGAAGTAGTATAATGAGATGGGATAGGGGTATTTTTAATGGCTCATTCGAGAAAACACGGCTTTTCGTTTAGCAGTTATGATGAAAAACAGCATACCTTCATTTCATCCATGGTGTTTTTTTTCCAGCTGCTTTGTTGATAGTGGTCTGGTCCACTCCAAAATGGCATTGTATTAAAGTTTTGCTGCTTCAAAGCTCATGTTTTTGTAGTGATATCCAAGTGTTTGCTGGTGAGACATGGTATTCTCATGTCATCAAGCCAGTCTGGGCCTTAGGCTTAGGCAGCAACTGTTGATCACCCCTAAACCTGGATGATCCATATAGCATAAGCCGCATATCAGGCAGAAATTACATGGAATCACAAGGAAAAATCCCAATTCTCAATGATAAAAACCCAATTAACATCCCATGAAAACTGGCGATTTCTCAGTCTATGGCGATTTATGGTTCCCGTTGCTCCCCTTGCAGTCAAGGTGTGCTCCGAGCTGTTGGAAAAGATCAAGGAACTGCAGAAGATCAGAGATGGGGTAGCTCCGTGTTTCAACGATCCAATTCTGCGGCTGCCCAACTCTGACCCAGACACATCTTCTTTGCAGGTTTTGGGATTGTGATTGAATATCAATGTCCAGAATGGAGGGTTGCAAGCAATAAAAGTAAAACTTCCGAACCTACAATGGGGATCAGAGATTGAATGATGGCCAAGGACTGAGGATTGCGGATGCAACGCCTGGAGATTTTACACTATTACTTGGTGTCTCGTTCACCATCAAAACTGAAGCCAACAATCGGGGTGACATGTCCAAAGTATCCCTAAGTCTGAAAGGGAAAACAGGGAAAGCAACGGTTTATAATCAACTTCCATGGGGAAGATGCCCAAATATCAGCAAACTGCGACATTGCCAGCAACGATGCTGGCATTTGCCAGCAAAGCAGCAGCGCAACGCCGGGTAGATGGGCCGAAATGGGGCCATAGCCAGCAAAATGGGTGGCAACTGGAATGGCCTGAACATACTCGTACAGAAGTGCTAGTTCCCTCTCATTGTGCTGGTCTTAAGGGAAAATCCTCAGGAAATCATCATGTTTTGGCCACATTTTTTTTGGGGGAAGCCAGCAATCCGTCAGATTTTCAGGAGCGCAATGCCGCTGTGGAGTTGATGAAACTCGAGAGCAAGGCTGGTTGTCGGTGTGGAGGTGGCTAACCACAACGATCTGATACTGGTAAATCTAAGTAATTGATTATAGTAATAGGGGATTTTCCACTTGGGATACAAGTCCTAATTATAGGGGATGTCCTAATCAGTTAATGATATACTATGGAAAATCCCTTTTAGTTGGAGGTTTATAGCTGGGAAAATCATTGAATTAGACGTGCAATTTTCCATCAAGCCATGATACGAATAGATGATAATAAGGAACTCATACACATATCATGCAGTTGACTAGAATGATAAAGGGCTTATAGATATTAATATGACGGATATGGGATTTACCTTAATTAATGGATATAAGATTAATTAGCTTCACGCATATATGTATATATATATATAGGTAAATAGATGGAGCATTTGAAAGTAGATCATAGGGGAAACGGTGAATATTCCAAATCTATGTTACACGCCAGGATCAATAAACCGCAATTTCTCTTATATAATCAGGGGGCGTCCTCAAACCGATAATCAAAACATAACTGCTACCACCCCATGCGAATACAGTGGGGATTTATTCATTTTGTGTTGGCATTATCCAGCAGACATTACAGCAAGCATGTAAACTATGTGAACAAAGTTGGGTATATAATGAAACGCATATTGGGGATCCTTGCCACATCTTGCCACCTGCCAATGACACCATGACATGGAACGGGAGTCTTTCCGTTTTGTACACCCAGGGGCCGCCGGTCCTGGGCTTTTTTTGCGACCTGGAAGTGCCCGGTCTGTGGGGATGATACCCAGGTATTCATGGACAGTTTATTTACTGTATAAGACTGTATACATATTTATACTATGACATACTATGGATGTTTGGGATGGTGATTTATATAGTTGATTTATAACTGTACTATTACATATTGTCCCCTGTATTTTCCAGACCTGGGATGATAGAACCAGCGGCTGCAGAGGAGCTCCAGGCTGCTGAAAGGCCGGGTCCAGATGGGATATTTATCTTTATCGGGATGTGTGTGTTTTTTTTTTTAATGGGTACTGTGTATATATATATAAAGATGTGATAATATATGTGATACATATATATATATATACATATATATATATACATACACAAATATGTATGTTTTATGACTTTCATGGAAATATCTGGAACTTCTATGATACTCTATGATTATATGGGAGTATTTGCTTCTGAAGATGAGTAAAAATCGTCTGGGGGAGTACTTTATTTGGAGATATCATTGACCCTGGGTAGAACGAAGAATGACAGAACTCAGGTAGTTTTTCATGAAGGTAAATCTTCAACTGGTTCAAACTTGCGGATTTTGTGAAGTTTTCTTCGTGCACCTGGAACCCAAATTACCTTGATTTAGGCTGGGAGGGTTTGCGTGAGAAATAGGTGTCATGCAAATGCAAGTTTCCTGTATTCAAGAACGTTTCATATCACTGATGGAGTGGAACATGAAACTGGACCAGACTCAGTGGGAAACATAGGACACTGTATGAACATTGAAATCGAGGAATACTGGAATAAATCAGTTGCTTCAAGATGAGTCTGACTACAATGTTTGTATCAATCATATGCAGTAGAAATTAGTAGGATGTCACGTGAATCTGCATTCGCGCATCTTTGATGATCTACATGCCTAAATACAGTTGTGTGTTTTGCAAGTTTGAATTCAACATGTGTCATGTGCTTTGACCACTGCAGGCGATTTTGACAATCTCTTGTGTTTTTTTCCTCGAAGTGCCTTGTCACTCTCTGTCTCCTGTGTCACAGAGCCTTGATTCCTCTTCATCATGTTCCCTACTCTACTGATATCCTGACTGAGGGCCTCGAAGGCCTTCCCACATCTCACCATCTCTCCAGAGCCGTTCCACTGTAAGTGGAATGTAACTGGAACCGCTTTGGTGACGTTTGGTGACATTCATTGTTCGGAATGTGTCTTGGGATATCCATTGTGCTAAACACCACGAGAAGAGCCTGAGTGATGGATCTGCTAATTTCAGGCTCCCATGAGGATATTCACATGGAATTTCCGACTTGCCATTTACCAGACCTAGAATTATGTTGCTCTGGAAATTGTGCCACTTCACCAGTTCATGCATTGCTTGTTGACAACCACAACTGCTACCTACCTACAGGGTTCCAAACTGGTGATTTCCATGAAACTGCAAGTTACACAATTCGAGTAGCAATGAAAAATAGTTAGCCAAACATTTGGTCGATTTCAAGTGGCCCTTTTGCTGTTTTTGGCATCACTCTGGTGGCACATTTGACCCCTTGGCTTCAAAAAGAGTTTCACTCCCCCTTTCGCAGGTCACGTATCGAAAGCCATCAGCAGAAAGTCCAAGAACTCAATGCGGAAATCACCAAACTCAACATGGAGTGCCAGCAGTTGAGGCAGCAGGCGCTGTGGAAGGGCTTTGCTGGGGACCTCGGAAAAGATAGCAAATAAAGTAGTTCCTGAGAAGTGGACCTGATCTGGGAACAACAAGCGACGATGGAGCGCACTGTGTTTTTCTTCCAAGATGCCCGAGATGCCCCACTTAGAAAGCCAGAGGTTTCTATGAAATCCACTGGGACTGATGCATGATGCGATTTCTAATTCTATGACCTACTATGACCCCAACTCTCCGTATTACATGTTCATTTTATGGTCTTATAATGTTTTACAACCTATACAACCCATTTTACTATTGATTCATAAGCCAGTTTTGTATGGCCCCTAGTTCCTTGTTTGCAGGAGAGCGAGTCCTGCAAGGCCAAAGAAGTCATGGAGGAACGGTCGAAGCGAGCCAAAAGTGTTGTTCAACTGTGGTCAACCTCCGGTGATGTGTAGAACATCAGTGATTATGGTTGTCTATTCATCTACAACTGATGTTAATTGATAATGGTTGATACTGGTTGAACATTTGATTTGTAGATGAATCTACCATGATCCAACCTTAAATTAGGATTGATCCAGTCAACATTTTGAGATTGATAGATCATGTACCCATTCACCATGGGGGCGCTTAATTCGAAAAGATATCAAGGAGGTCTTATGAAAAAGGTGTCAGGTTCCCTGACAGAAATGGAAGTACATGGATATAACCAAACATAAACCATACCATAAACCATAACATTCGACCAAGTTTTACATTTTTGTTGAGGACTAGACACCATAGCCAACCAAGCGGATTTACTTGATATATATATATACGTATATAAATATGATATGTATATAATTTTCAATAGCGGATTTCTGTAGTCTCATCTTCAAAAAGGGGGTTCGACCCAAAATGTCCAGATACCAACCCAGTTTACCCCCTCGTTGTGACCAATGCAGGAGCGGTTGAAAGGCAAGGATCATCAGCTGCAGTCCCAGGACAGCGGAAGTTGGGATGGCGGGAGAACCACCAAATCTAGTGGTTTGGAAAGTCATGTTCCCTACCAGTGTCACTTTCAGACATATATCATGAAGGTGCATCTAAAAAGATGGAAGGCATCCGACCCAAAACAATTGACAGTTTATCAGCATTTTACCCCTTGAAATTGTTGGATAACTCCATTTGGGATCATTGTTGGTGAAGTTGGTGGGATGTGTTGCAAGCAAGATTGGTTGATGGGTTGAGCCTTAGCCTGAGAGGGGTAACTTTGAATAGCCACAAACACTTCTTGTGGGTCATAAACCTGGCATTGTTTCCCTTATTGAAGTTATTCTAATCCTTTCCCCCGAATGTGACACCGTGGAAACCACTGGTTTAGAACTGGCATTATGTGTTTTGGGGTGCCTCATGAGGGTATAAAATGCTAGGGGGGTGGGATTGTGTATGAGTCCATTGCAGGTCTTAATTCATACATTTAATCCCGTGAAGAGTGCAGAATAAGCTGAACATATCGTAATTGCAAGGGGTCTAAACCATCTACAGACTTGCAATTCTATTATATCTTGTTTATTCTTCAGACATGTCTTCCCTTCATTCCAACATGGGGTGAGATATTGCAATCAAAATCAATATCAATATCATTTTTTTCTTTTGTGTGTGGAGTTGAATTGAAAGGACAAACAAGAAATTGTCTGAAAGTCCTTCAAGAGTTTCCGGATTTCGGGCTGCCAAATAGGATTGTCAACGTGCCTCTTCAGGGGTCTGAAATGTTCAGATCTCCAGTTCTTGTTCATCAACACTTTGACTTTCCACATCTCCCTTGGATGAAGGGCATGAATATCCCAAGAACATTCATATAGTAGATATTTCCATATATTTTCTGAACATTTCTGTCAAAATTGCTGTGTCGTCAGCCAAAATTTTCATCCAAAAATTCCCTTTTTTCCAACGGGGCGTTCAAAACTGAAGGAAGTGGAGCTGCAACGAGGTGTCCGTGCCGTGGAGGTGCGCTGACATCATGTACATCCATAACCAATACATACCAATAGCATCGTCTGGAAAACATGGTATATGGATGTACCATGATGTTTTAATGGGTTGATCTTGAACAAGGTTCCAGTATGTACCAGTACTGGTTCATCATAAATTACCCTGAACATCCCTGAACCATCGAAAATGGGTGTGATTTGATTTTGCACATTACATCACATTAGTCAGATGTTAGTTGGGGAGGCAATTTTTTGGCAAGTCATGATCAGAAGTTGGAGATTGACCCGCAAAATATATGGAAAACAAGAGATTGAACCAAGAACAGTTTAACCCCGGACCTGGCCATATGAATTTGCCACCCGTTGATGTCTTTTTCGCACTGGTTGACTGATTCATAGAAGTGGACATTTCCATTGAAGAACCAATGATTAAATGAATAGGACCAAACTGAAGCGCCACTTTCTTTTTCCAGTTGGTAAAACAACGTTTAAACATGTTCGCTGCAACCCCGTGTCTGACTTCAGGTGGATATGAAGATAAAGTTGATGTTATTACCCCAACCAACATATTGTTCAGAGGGGGTGGCGAATTTTAATGAGATGATGATCATGATGTGATGATGATGATGATGATGATGATCATGACGATTGAAAGTGTGGAGCAACGTCCGGGTTGGGGCGAACACGTTTAAACATAATTCTATTTTTGTTGGTTTAGTTTAGATCCCAACTTGGTTGGTTTAGATCATTTTAGATCCCATGATTCCTAGGTGGAACCCAATCTCTATCGGTCAAAGAAAAGATATTATGTAACTCTTTCATTTTAATTACCCCAAAACGCGATAGAGAAGTGATTTACCATCATTTTAGTTGTTTTTTTTTCAGAGGTTGCTATGATCAATGCTTGGATAAATCAGGACGCGCCAGGACGCCAAAGTGGAGGGAGAACGTCGTTGGGCCAAGTCTCAGGACGAGGCGTGGAGTCGACTCCACAGCGGTAAAACTGTGGGTTAATTGAATCATGAAACAATATGTACATATGGGTATGTCTGAAAATGGGGTATACCCCCAATTATAGCCATTTAGTAGGGATAATGATCATTAACCATTGGGTGTAGGGGTACACTATTTTCAGACAAACTCATATATGTACCATATAAAAACTATGGCTATAATATATATATATAGGTAAAACTGTGGGGATCTAACCATCAGAACCATCAAACATGGGGATGGTGAATGGGGTTTACCTTGGTGATGGGTAGGTCAGCCGGTCAGGGGTGACCCTTCTTTTCATCACCGGCGGGACATGGACAGCTGATGTTGTGTCCCGTACTAATTGATATTTTTACATATCAATGGTGAGGCCGTTCTGAGGGCCGTATGATACTGCAAGTTGGCCCAAGAATACAGAGGATGATATCCAACAAAGAACCTGCTTTGCAATATTGAGTGCACACATCCTTTCAATTTTTGGTATCATTCGTAACCCCAAATCGGTCAAAGGTAACCCCAAACATGTGGAGTCGGACAGCACGTTGTTTTGGAACGTCTAGTTATGTCTAGTTGTTTGGTTAGATGTGGAACCCCAATCATCAGAATATCATTTGCCAAACCAAATCGCAAACCGACTCCAGTTGGGGCCGAGGGTGAGAAATATGGATGACTCAACCAGTGTGGTTTATAGCAGCATGCATGCTTGGACTTGACATCAGGTGGAAACAATCCCGACATCAGAAACGAGGATAAAACACATATATCCATGAAAAAACAGATCTTATCCGGGTATGACATATTCTCGCTTTAATTGCAAACAGTATCCTTTCGGCGTAAGTCATCCGACCATCCGGAAAGTGCAACCTTCGGCGCGCTCCGCTGCTCCACTGGCTGAAGCTGCCGCTACGATAGATGGTGGGCATGTTGCCGATACTAAAACAAGGTTGACAAAAAAGTGTATATATATAATAAACAGATGGTAATAGATAATGATAGATAATGTTACTAGTATGATATTTGTACGATTCTTTATACTTATACTTTGGCTATGATATGTTTATGAAGAGCCAAACATGGTGCAACTTGGCAATGAGAGGGTGAAGAGTAAAACGGTGGCCCCAAAGATGATGAAACGCTAGGGCCTGAAAGGGGGCAGAGGAAACCATCAGCAACCCTGAAGCAACCCCTGAAACCAGACCAGCTTACAAATTGGGTACTGCCTATTTCACTACTATAATCATATTCTGTGGTTCACTAGTCTTCGCTAGTTGGAGCTGGAGTCGGCACGCTCAGTTGGCCGGCCCTATATCGAACGACAGACACCTAAAATGCTACCAGACTGTTATTCCGCACTTTTTGTGGCAACGGTTGTGTTTGGTGCTTTTTTGCTAACGCCATTGGCTTGCTCTCCACGGGATATCCACGGGATGAGCATCAAGCGGAAGCGCGAGAACGAGGACGTCGGGAAAGCCATAGGGGGGAACGCAGATTCTTGTGTCCATCGGGTCCTTTTCATTCCTTTTCCGTATGATCCGTCGCCGGTTTTAACGGACACAAGATGTGCGTGAGAGAGGAAGGCGGGGGAATTTGGTGCCGGGAGGTTCCGGTAGGTTGAGGTGCCTCTTTTGAAGTTCAAATGAAATACCCTCTGGTAAACAAACATAGCTATTGAAAATCACCATTTTTAATGGGAAAACTCACTATTAATGGACATTTTCAATAGCGTTAGTTTACCAGAGGGTATGTTGAACTGTTGAACCGTAGCCAGATGCAATGGATGATAGGGTAAAGTCATTGGAGGTAGTGGCACCCGCTAAACGATGTTATCAAAGCCTTAAAGCATCTCTTGGGGTGAACCGTACTGGTCTTCCAGATGACAATAAAATTATACATGACCCACATCAAAACTTCCCAGACCTCATTCTAAAGAAGTAGATGTGTAGGTGGCAGATGTGTGTCAGCAGTGTGTGCCATGCTGGCACAGTGGATTCAGCACCACCGTCATCAACCACAACTTCGCCGGGTTTGCGGCGTGCCACTGTGTATGTTTGTTGATGAAACCTTAAACTCAGGCCTTTGTATGACTGAACATGTGGTGGCCCACTATGTTTCCTGTGTCAGGGATGAGCCACGCGAATGTCCCTAGCTTGTGTCCGGTCAGTTCCAGGTTCATTCACATGACGCTAGGTTTTTGGTGAAGCTTGACTGAGATTACTGCAACTGACAGCACCAGAGCCTGATGCAAAAACTATCAAAAGCGTTTGCCCACATTTGATACATGTGCCTGGCATGCCGGGCGAGGAAGTGGATGACGAGGAATTGGACACTGGAGAGAGGCGCCAGTGGGATGGACATCCATTGGAAAATCTGACGTCCATTCTGAGTCCATCGGTCTGGGGAAGTTGTGGCCTTTGAAACAGCTTCATCCACAACATCCTTTTAAACAGCTTTGTTATAGGATATTTCTCACGAAAGGTAGCTCCTGTGGGGCTATACCTTGAGTTTTACAGTTTTACTATGTTTTACTTGACGAAGTAGAGGGGTGGGCGAGCCCCATTGCCTGGAGGTTGCTGTTCATTTGCCGTACAGGGACCTTTGGAATGTTCATGGTCTTTGCTGCGCAAGCAATGTCTTTCCTTGTTTTCGGTTCGAAAATAGCAAACACTTGTCATTTGACCCTAAGATTTCTTTGAAAATTGAATACGTTGACCTGAAGAAGGGCGGAAATTAGAGGATATAAGGGGGACACATGGAAAACCTAGGGTTTTGTGTGCAAATCCAGGGTTTATAATTCGATCACGGGTAAACCCAGGAATTTACTTCAGAGATCCCTCTTTTTTTAAAGGTTTGGAAGCTAAGGGTATTCGTATTATATATATATATAATATTATATAATAATGATAATAATAATGATAATAATAATGATAATAATAATGATAATAATAATAATGATAATAATAATAAATAAATAAATCAATAAATAAATAAATAAAATATAAATACCTACTGCTGCTGCTGCTGCTCCTACTACTACTACTACTACTACTGCTACTACTACTACTACTACAAAATAATAATAATAATAATAATAATAATAAATAAATAAATAAATAATAATAATAAATTAATTAGTATTAATAATAATAATGATAATAATGATAATAATAATATAATAGTAATAATAATAATATAATAGTAATAATAATATATATGTAGATATTTCAATTATTGAATGCAAAGCTACAGGGTTTATTTTTTGCGATGCGCAGTGTTTATCAGATAAAATTGTCATGCCTTCATTTCCTAACGCGCATGTTTTGTGCTATCTGCAATTTCCATCAGATTGGATAGCTCCTGGTGTTGCTTACGCACGCGGCTAAACTTTTGGGAAGCAACTAGCATTGACGCAGCAAATGCCAGTCATTGCCACTCCCCAGGGGCCAGGGTGTAAAATGAACAGTCTTGAAGATCTTTTCAGCAGTCTTGAAGATACCCAAACCATTAACCACCATTAACCACCATTAACCAGTATTAACCATCATTAACCATCATTGCCTGTGTGCTTGCCCTGGATGTAGCCACCAGGTTTCGAGGCTTCATCCATGATCGCATAGGTGACAAGATGTTCGTTGGGCCACTGAGCGGGTGGAAACTGAGGGGTGGGTCGGTGGCAGGTGATGGCACTGGCCCGGCTGCTAGTGTTTTTTTTGGGGACAATGTCTCAACGGAAAAAACATCGGGAAGGTCGATGGTTATTGTTTTTGGCAATCAAATGTCAGGCTGTCAGGTTGTCCTATGTTTTTCTGCACAATTGCTTTGTTTAAGTAAGTCTCGGAATGTAAATCTAGATCTGTAATGGATATGACATCTGGGTTTAGATCGACCATAGCGGATGGTTTCGTATGGCAAAGCCTGCCATGGTCTCACCTGGACCGAGGAAAGTTTCGTTTCGACTCCCCGTTTTAGGGAACACTCCCATGACTCAGGACCCCCAGTTTCAATTGAATTGGACTCAAGTCACATCTCAACATGCTATTGATTTTGACAGCATTTTCAATGGAACTACACTCATCAAAGTTCATGGTTCAGGGGAACCCAACATGGGATGAAGTCATCACCATAGGTGACTTGTGATGGCGTTCCTCCCGAGCCGCAGCCTTGGATGCCTTGGTTGAGGGGCCCTAGGTTAGGACCAGAGATGGACTGGCAATTTTGACTGTGAGTTGCACTCCAGTGAACAAACATAGCAATTGGAAAACCACCATTTGTAGATGATGTTCCTGTATTAAAACCTGCATTTACAGATCATTTCATCGATTTTCTATTGCCATGTTTGATTACCAGAGGGTGAGTTTTCGGCATCCCTTGTTTTGGGCTGCCCAAGTTTGACCCACACCCATATAGTACAGTGACATACTTGATACTTCGCATTGTTGTTTCCGTAATTTGTTGGCATACACACCCTTTTGGTTGGCTAGACCATCTCATTAAATGTGCGAGGCACTTTACATCTTGAACTTTGGAATCCGCAACTTTCAGACATACCTAGCCGATATGAAGCCCCAACATTGGCGGTGTAGGGCGTCACTGTGAATTGATCATTGTGGACACAACCAACAACAAAATGCAAACATGATCAAAAATGCGTCAGCCAGAATATTGCCCTGCTCTCTGTCACAGCTTCTCGCAGCTTCCGTCAACATGTTGGTTGCACTACATGACCCCCTTAAAGTCCTCTCCAAAAAACACTGTTTAATGGCTCTAGTAAATTGATATCAATAGTCAATAACATCATTAATATCATCCTATAGTCGTAATTTCCATGGACAAAAGATATTTTCTTCCATGGTGTTTGTGCCGTTGGGCCGTTGGGCCGTTAGCATTTTTGGGTAGACCCATGACTTGACCCAATCAGCAATGTGTCGTTGGTTAGATACAATCCTCATCAAATCCCCATCACCAAATATCCGAATGATAGTTGGTTATATCATGTTTTACTAATACATACTAATACTATATCTCACATGATGGTGGATTAGAAGCAATCTTAGGCTTTGTCTGAAAATAGGCTACCCTGTTTCTTATCCGGTTAATCATCATTATTCCTTCATATCCCCTATGAAATGGCCACAAACAATCTGACACAGCGCCAGAAATTCCTCGGCTCATCTCAGCGAGGTTTGCAGATCGACCTCCAAAGATCACCAAGAAGAGTGGCTCGATGTGGCGATGCGGGCCATCAAAGGGAGCGATTTCGGCAGAGCTTGGAGTTTAATCTGATTTAATCTGATCTGATCTGGTCTTTTTGGATAGGATTCACGACATCATTGTAATCATGGGGAAACAAGGAACACATTGACCAAGTAGATGATTGTACAACCAATAGCCTAATAGCCCTTGTTCGGTTACACCTCCTCCAGGATAAATGTTGGAGGGATTACTGGATAGTACGTCTATTTTGATAGTGGATCGTAACCTCTTCCATCTACTAAGTATCTACTATTCAATACATACAATTGGAATCCAGGTGGAACATTTTGTAGTACATATCGGGGATTTTGATCTTGGGGGCATGGGTCATACCAATTTCTATTGGGTAAATCCTAGCTAAATTAATCTTCGTTGTTGCTGTGTAAATTTCATAACAAGTCTCTTTTTGCTGGGTAAATCCCAATTGCAGTGGCCACAACTGACATAGACACTGCGAATTCTCATGTTTGGCGGATTCCATTTGGGTTTGTGTAAAATCATGCTCTGCGTGGTGTCTTGACCCAAGTTCGATTCTATTTCTCTATTTATCTATTCGTCTATTTATCTATGTACTTATCTATCTATTTGATCTGATCTAATCTAGTCTAGTCTAGCCTAACCTAATCTATCCAATTTGTCTCCAATCTATTCAATGTACCCAAGCTATCCAATCCATCCACTCCATCCAATCTATCCACTCTATCCAATCCTCTCCAATCTTATCCAATCCTATCTAATCCTATCCAATCCAAATCTATCCATCTATCAATCTCTCTGTTTGTCTATCTATCTATCGATCGATCTATTCCATCTAATCCATCTATTCCATCTAGTCAAATTTATTCAACCCAATCAATTTAAGCAATTTAATCAATCTCATCTAATCTAATTCAACTGAATCTAATCTAATCTAATCCAAGCTAACCTAATTCTAATCTAATGAGATTTAATCTAATCTAATAAGATTTAATCTAATCTAATCTAATCTTATCTTATCCTTTCTAATCTATCTACTCAAACTATTCTCACCCATTCTATTCTAGTCTATCTATCGAATCTACTCTAGTCTAGTTGAATGTACCTCAATCTAATAAAGAGTTCTATCTTTATTTCGCATATATATATATGATATATATATAATATGTAGATATATCTTGGACCTTGGGCCCAGGTCAAGCTCCAGCGGGTCTCGATGTTGGCAGCCGGTGGCCTCAGATCAACGCCGAAGCGACCATAGGGTTTAATGGGTTTCAACGGGATTTAACGGGATTTGATGGGATTTGACAGGATTTGATAAGATTTAGTAGGCTTTCATGAATTTAATGGGATTTGATAAGGATATCATTGAACATACGTATGATTATTTTAGGGGATTGAATGGGATTTGATGGGGATATCATGGTAAATAAATATATATATATATATATACATAACCAACCCTCTTTGTGCAAGGATGTTGGATACCGGGATACCCCAAATTTGCGTTTTTATAATGGGAAATGATGATAAGCAGTGGGATTTTGGTAAAACATCATTGTCAGACACAGAAATTTGGCTATGGCAATTACGGCAATTGTAAGCAGCCCGAACTGTTGATTTAACCTAACAGACAAGGGATCTCACCAACAAATCTTCGATACCAACAAAGGTTAGACCAGAAATGACAGTTCCCCGGAAGTGGATGGTTTGGTCCCCAGAGAATTGTTACCCATGTTTGACCCAACCCAGATGAGAATGGGTCGATGGTGAACATAAAATAGCTGATAAGTATGGTACCATGTATGTGTCTACACAGTATGTTTATTTCCCAAATATGGTACCATGGATTTTGACCCATTCTGGTTCTATAGCACAGTCCAATTTGTCAACTGAACTCACTGCTTGGAATTAACACTTT